CCCCAGCCCCTTCTCCTACACCCACCCCCATCCCCACCTCTGTTCCCCCCATTGCCCCACGGCTCCCGCCGCCTCCCATGTCGCCCCGGCCGCTGATGCAACGCTCCCAGCCAGTGCACATCCTCCCGGTCAGGTGGGTGACACCACTGTCCCCCCTGGAGGTGATGGGCGGGGGTCCCAGACATCATGCCAGGTGGAAGGGTGTGTGGTAGAAGTTGCAGGAGATGGATGCTCCAGACAGTCATGGAAAGCTGCCCGAGGTTGCCTGCGTGCCCAGGCTGTGCTGCCCAGGTGGGGACTGTGGCCGTCACTCCCAGGTTTGGATAGGCCTCACCCTGAGCCACACTGGTGCCTATGGCTGTGGGCAGAGTGAGCTTTGCTCACAGTAGAAGCCTTGTGGGCTCCCTACCAGGCTGTCCTCCTCACTGCACCCCAGTTGCCTCACGAGCATGAGCCCACCAGGTGGGTCCTCCAGACAGTGAAGGTAGTCAGAAGAAAAAAGCTACTGGAAAAGAGCGCAGGCATGCAGGGGCTCCGGCATGGATTTAGACAGGAGGGAAGGGAATGAGTGTCATGCCGGGGGCCTGGCTCTGTCACGCTATTGGCCCTCTGTCCTAGAGGGAGGGTCAGCCCTGGGATCTCAGGGGTCACGGGGGGTGGAGGGTTGACTGTCCCCCAGGAAGGTCCGGGGGTACAGGCAGGAAGTTGCTGTGGGACCTCGGGAGAAGAGCACAGGGTGCTGTGCCATGCTCTGGCTTTGACTTTGAACTTGGTTTCTCTGCTGCATCAGCGGCACCCACATCCTATGTGTGTTTGCATTGCTGTGCGCTGCTGAGCTTCACACTTCTCTGGGGAAGAGGAGGTGGGCCAGCCGGCAGAGGGGCGTCTGTCTGTGGCTGGTGTTTCTAAAGACGATGTGCGCTGCTTTTGTTACCAGCTAGTTTGGTGTCCCCAGCCTTCTGTGTAAATAAGCACTCCTCTCCGCAGTCAGCGGGGACTCAGAAACCTCCTCTGGTGGCCCCACATGGGTCACCTCCAGGCCTTGGCCCAGCTCCTGGTCTCACGGAAGTGCCCTTCCTCACAAATCCTGCCCCCCCACCATTATCCACCGACCCAGCTGAGTGTCGTGGGAGACGCATTGTGCACTTGGGACTGCACAGCCACCGCTGCATTCCAGTCTGAGGAGGAGGAAATCTGGCATGACAGCCTCTTGCAAAGCTTTTTACATGTGATAAAATGCATAAAACATAAAATGTCCACACTCGCTATTGTGAAGTGTACGTATCAGTGGAGCTCTGTCTGCTCAGAATTGTCCAATCTCCAGGACTTTTCGCCTTAGGGCATTGAAACTCCATCCACTGCAGAACAGCTAATCCCCTCTCCCTTCGACCAGTCTCTTGAGTTGAGCTCCTCTGTGAGTGGAATCAGCTGGTGTCTGACCTTTATGATTGACTTATTTCACTCAGCATTGTGTCTTCAAGATGTAGCCCCGTGTGTGAGTTTTCTACCTTTCCACGACTGTGTAATGCTCCTCCATATGGATATACTGTTTTGTGATTTTCCACCCATATGTTAATGGATGGATGCCTGGGTTACTTCTGTGTTTTGGTTACTGTGAGTGATGGTTTCGTGAGCAGGTGAACTCCCGCACCTATCAAAACCCTGCTTGTAGTGCTTTTCTGGGTAGACACATTCGTAGCAGTGTGGGGTTGTGTCAGGAATGACAAGTTTTAACCCAGCTTGACTCCTTCCTCACAGGCGCCTTCAGGAGGAGAACCAGCAGTTCCGGACCTCATCTCTGCCGGCCATCCCCAACCCATTCCCTGAGCTCTGCAGAGCCAGGAGCCCCCCTGTGCTGCCACCAGGCTCCTTACCTCCAAGACAGGCTGCCATGAAGCTGGTGAGTGTGCCTGTCTACACCGCTGGGTGCTCAGCCGTGGGTCTGGGCAGGTACACAGGTGCTGTCCAGAAGTGGGAGGGAAACGTGACCTCTCCACTGTGTGTTCTTTCCCTGTGACTGCTGTGCTTGTTGTTTTGTTTGTGCTTGTTTCAAAGCTTATGAGGCTTTGAACTTATTTGCTTGAATTCCACTTACCACAGCTTGTGTTGCTTCAGAAAGTCTTATATCTATGACTTGAAAAAAATAACAGTTTAAAAGATGTGTATTAGTTCTTTAAAAGAAATGCTACCACCAGATCTCCCTCCTGACCCAGTAGTTCTAGGCTTGTGTATTAGTCAGTGTTCTCAGCACAGGTACAGAACACCCAATACCCACATGGAAGGGAGGGAATGATTTTGGTTCAAGGTTTCAGTCCATGGTTGGCTGCTCCAAGGCAGGAACAGCATGGCAGAGGGGCCTGGTGGAGGGAAAAGCACTCAACCCATGGTGGCCAGGAAGTGGGGAGAGGAGGGAGGAGATGGACAGGATATCTGAAGGGTTCCCATCCCATGGTCTTAATATGAATGTGACCTCCTCTTGGCCTCAGAAGGCACCACCACCTTTGTGAACAGTTTCTCCTTTTGAGTAGAAATGGCTGGGAAGTGGGTGTCCATGTCAGGGAGCCATGGTCATTGTATGAGAAGTCACCAACAACCACTTCTTTGACTTAATAGAGGCACTGGCAGCTGCTCCTGGGGCTGAGCTCACTGTGTGTGTGTGGCGGGGAGTGTCAGGACGGTGAGCACAGCAACCCCTGGCATTTATAGGGTGCTTTCTGCAGGAGATGCTCTTCTCCATGGTGCGTGTCTTTGTGTGAGTGGCTGTGCCCTTTCCTCACACCAACCCTGTGGTTCCACACAGAGCCCCTGCTCTGCAGGTGTCGGCCTGGGTACACAGGCCCTGTCCTGAGCCTGCCGGCTGCAGAGCGCTGCTCAAGCCCCACATGTTCCTGGGCAGCCGGGTCGGCCATGCCAGGCTTAGAAGGTGAGGTCAGTGTCCTTTGCCTGGGAGCCACGCTGCCTGGGCCTCTGTCACATGTCTCAGTGTGTTGGGGACGTCTGCCTTCCCAGCAATCTCTGCTTCAGATATGGACCCAGACGAGCTGCCTGTGCACTGGGCTGAGGCTGTTTACAAAGTTTCCCGTCCTAAAATAAGACCAGGAAAATATTATCTGGCCCTCAGGGTGACTGGCCAGGAAAGCAGCCTCCACCCCACGGCCCCGCCAGTGCCTAAAGGGCAAGGAAACCCAGGAATGTTGCTGCTGGTGTTTTTCTCCGGCCTGTGTTATTCCCCACGAGGGCACTGTGCTGGGGGTCTCTTTTGTCACGATTTGTCAGGCTGACTGGGGCTGGCAGGAGCAGGCGGGCATCTCTCACTGAGCCCCACTTGTATGAAGCTACTGGTCTTTGTTCTTGGTTTTAACCTGATATTTTCAGGCTGGTGTTTTCAGGGTAGTTCTGCGCGTGTGCACGTGTGTGTGTCACTTGGGATCAAATCCACAGTCTTCACACTGAGCTGCATCCATAGCCCTTTTTATTTTTATTTTGAGACAGCATCTCACTAAATCCCTGAGTTGCCCAGGCTGGGTTCAAACTTGACATCCTCCTGCCTCAGCTTCCTGGAGTGCTGGGGTTCCAGGCATGCGTCACCAGGCCCAGCCTCCATAGAGCATTTCAACCGCTTTGTGGCCCTTTGGGAAATTATAGGCTCAGGAAAACTGGGAGAGCTCAGGTTTCTGAGGTGGGGCCCAGGTTTTCATGGCTTAGAGGGGCATGGCCAGCTGGCCCCTGCTATGGGGGACCTGACACCTCCATGCCTCAGTGGGCCCGGTCACAAGAGTCCCCTATGAGTGAGACCCTCTGGATCTGTAGTTCCCCTCACAGACACTCTCACCACCTGCTATGTACTTTACAGTTGTGGCCACAAACAGACCACATAAGTGCATGGTGTCCCCCAACAGATCTGGGGCTCTGGAGCCCAGAACATGGCCTATGTGTGTCTGGGGCCAGTGGGAGTCTTGGCAGGGGTGGGCAGAGGTGTTGCCCGGTGGATATGGCTGGGCCTGGCCCCAGGTGACAGCAGGTGGTCTAGAATCCATCACACACAGATACACTACATCCCACACACCCTGCAAGCAGCACCCCCATCCTGTGCCACAGTCCTGGCCCTGGTGATGTCTCCTTCCATGACGCTCTGTGATGGCACAGAGCAGTGACCCAGACACTGCCCTCCTTCCGGCCTCCCAGAGGCTATGGGAGTGGCTGGCTGTGGAGGCCTCTGAGTGTCACCGTGGCCTCCTAGCCCCTGCTCTGGACCCACTGGTGGCCATCTCGGGAGGGACTTGGCTGGAGGGACAGCGATGACCTTGGCTTTCAGAGGATCTGGAGAGTTCAGAATTCACACTGTGCAAGCAACATTTGCATCTTTGTTTTCTAAAACCACTTTGTGGCCACTGCTGTCCCCAGACACAATTCAGGTTCTGACGCAGTTGCAGACACAGGCTCTAGGCCCAGGGGCCCAGGGCTGGCCCCTCTGTCCCCAGGCACTTGCAGATGGCCACAGGAGTGGCCTCCAGAAGGGGCAGTGGTTTTCTGCACAGTCAGCTGGAAAAGTGTCCCCAGAGGGCCAGGAGCTGTGGCTGCTGCCTCATGTGAGGGACTGCACTGATCACTGCACTGTGAGAGGGCTGCACTGATTACAAATCCTCGTGGAGCCAGCAAGGTGCCACACACCTGTCACCCAGCTCCCTGGGAGGCTGAGGCTGCAGCGTGGCAAGTTCAAGCCCAGCCTGGGCAACTTAGCAACTTAGTGAGATCCTGTCTTATAAAAAGTAAAAAATGGCCTGGGGGTGGAGCTCTGTGTGAAGGCCTTGGAATCATTTCCCAGGACCACATACACACAAAATAGCAATAATTACAATTTTGCTCAAGGGCAAAGAGGGGGCTCTGGGGATCTGGGGTTCATACCTGCCAGGCAGTGTGAGGCCTCAGAAAGAGGTGAAGGAGGGGATACACATCCAGAAGTGGTGACAGCACGTGAAGGGCTCCAAGTCGCTGCTGCCATGGGCTAGCCCCTCCCTGTCAGGGCCCCCGACATGCGTCCTCCTGGGACCCAGGCCCGGACAGATGAGGCACACAGTTGGAACCCCGGATGTGCTTGGTCCGTGTGAACTGGATGCATAGGCTCCTGGCCCCAGGGACCATCAGGAGGGCACCCATGGGGTCGGGAGGACATCTCTGAGGTTCAGCACACAGGAAGGGAGGCGTCTCCTGAGAAAGCTGGGGGCCCAGCACCCGGTTTCCAAGGAGCCCTGGGTTCTGAGCAGGGATGCGGGGAGCCAGTGAATGAGGGAAGGGCAAGTGCGAGGAAGGAGGCTGGGCGTCCCAGGCAGCAGGCAGAGCGGTTGGTGTGGACGCCACTGCAGGTGTGCACTCCCCACTGATGGCAGCCCTGACTGGCAGTGGGCTGTGAGGAGTTAGGACACCCTGGCTTCGGGGACTGCATCTGCCTGGCTTCCATCACAGGGAAACTTACCTCTGCTGAACACAGGTCCAGGCAGAGGTGGCCTTTGCCACAGCCTTACTCAGCTGTGGCTGATAAAGCAACTGTTCCCTGGCTGGTGAGCCAGGTGCCCAGAGGGAAACTGAGGCACTGCCTAGGAGCCAGATGTAAGACTCTGAGAACAGATTCACATACTATCTTTGGCACCTTCATGTCACTGGTACGTAGTGCCCGATACTCACAGCTTAGAGGAGAGGCTTATTTGGGCTCTCAGTTTCTGGGCACAGTCAGTGGCTCCAAGGCAGGAAGGGCAGATGGAGGGGCTTGGCAGAGGAGAGCTGCTCACAGCATGGGGGCCAGGAAGCAGAGAGGAGCCAGGAAGGGAGATGCAGCCTTCCAGGCCATGCCCCCAGTGGCCTCTTCTTCTTACCAGGTCCCGCCTCCTCACAGCCCAGTCAGCTGTGGCTTCATTGGTGGGTCATCCACTCACGAGTGCGTCTCGTGATCCAGTCACCTGGCCAGAGTCCAGCCTCTGCATAAGGTAGAATCTGGGAGGTTACTGTGATCCTGAGAGGGCCTCTGCTCAGCAGCTGTTGTGATGTTAGTCAAAAGTTTACTTTTGCATGCAGGATGAGCAGGGGTCTGGATGCTTTCTTTCAGTCAGGGAGGTTTTCTCTGTCTCGGCCATGGAGTGACTCGGGGTGGCACTCTTCCTTCTGTGGCTCACATACATCTGTGGCGAGGGGGCCGTACTGTGCGGAACGAAGTGGTACTGCGCGTGGCCCTATCCTCGCTGGCCATCGCGCCTCCTCAGGCGTGCTCAGAGCCTCCGAGACCAAGAACAGCCCTGAACCTCTGCAGCCACAGCGTTTCTCTGTTTGCCTCTGAAGGGAGTGATGTGGTCGCTGCCGCAGCAGGCAGCGGTGACCTGGAACAGGACAAGTGCGAGACAGGAAACCGTCCAGGAGTCTCCTGTGAAATCCCATCCGCGGATGTTTCTCTGGACTATAAATATAAATTCTCTAGACTTGTGGATCCCGAAACAGATCCTTGACTACAGCTCCAGACATCTCTGATCTCTCTGGAGCCCTCAAAATAGGAGCATCTAAAGGATGTCTCCTGCAGGACGGCTGGCCACATTCTTCCCAGAAGTCTTAAGTCCCTGCCCACATGTGCCCAGCGGAGCTTCAGGCAGGGTGCAGGGTGACTGCTCGGCTGTGGGCACTGGCCTGCCTTGGCCAGCAGGTCTGCTAATCCACACAGTGCTTTGATTTGAAATTCATCAGAAAATGGGAAATCGCTAGGCCATGATGGCTTTTTCACTAGCGTTGTTCTGTTTGCATGTGATGAGGCACCCTGCTCTCTCTTTTTCTTTTTTTGGTTTGTGTCTTTTGGAACCCATACTTGACTGTGCCGAGAAGCAGCCTGTCTATGCCCATAGTACGTGAACGTGGTGCTGA